GCCGAGGAGAGAATAAAACGAGACATCCTGAGCACATTGTACAGGGGAATAATAAATCTCTGTGATGGAAAAATGTTTAGAACTGACAAGGAACTGAAGTCCCTGTGTCTTTTGGTGTTTAACACAACCATGGTGAGTTTACTTTATTAATTACTTTAACACATAGATGGCTACACTTGTACCAAGTCACCAATGAGCCAATTATGAGTACTGCCTGTCTCGCCTGTTTACCCTTTTCCTTGATTTAAAAAAATATTTAACATTATCTTAGATTGCTATTACTAATGTCTATAATAAAAATAACACCATAAACATTCATAGCATTAGTGAACAAAAAAAAAAAAAAAGTCACTAGGACTACTAATTAGCACTAACAGAGCCATCTATGTGCAGAGAAATATCACACAAAAAAAGAGCAGAACATTTTCCTGGTGGCATTGAGTTGATGGATGCCATGCTCTAAAAACTAATGAATGACTGGCAATGAATGGAGCTCATAAATGTTTGCAAGTTAATTCACTCTTCATTTAATGACTGAGTACCAATATCCTACTTCTAACATCAGAAAAGATGCTTTGATTATTAAAAACAATAATAGACCCTTATGGACTCAAAAAATATTCTTCATAGGGTGATGGCCATGTTCTAAGACACTTGTACATCCATCAGCATCACATGTAATTCTGATGGTGATACAATATCAACACATCAATTATATCTCAGTCTGTGTAACTATTTATCTCTACCTTTGTCACACTGAACTCTATTCTATGGGTACCTACTCCAAAACAGTATCAGAATAGAATGGACATAAAAAAAAAACGTGATATGGATTATAGTAAGAACAGAGAAAAAGAAGAGATTTATTTTTTTAAGAAATTTCTGTTCTTCATACATTCATTCTCATAAATATCCCATAACATCATGTAATAGGGATGTTGTTTACCTTTAGTCTCATGCAAGGTATCATTTAAATGTTACTGTTTTCAGTAATTTTAAAATCATACTTTTGTTTATCAACTCAATACTTGAATTTAATTTTAACAAAACTACATGCATTAGGTAATCCTTCAACCAGTTAACTGAGGATTCAACCAGATATGCATTTTAAAAGGTTACTAGACTTAAAAAGAGGAAAATAAAATAGAAGAGCAAGAGAAAAAGGTGCTACAGGAAACATGCTACCAATACACTTGTATTAAAAAGAAATTTCAAACCACACAGTTCACTGCACTGTACCAAAAATGCTTTTAAAAACCAAAATTTTCCTCCAGAGAAAAAGGAAGACTAGAAAAAAAGGAAAAAAACTTAGGAGACAAACACAAAAAATTAAACATAAAAAAATAAAAACCAAGATGCACATACACGATTCATACGCACCAAAGAACTCTGGGTCATTGGTACTATCCATGGACTGCACGAGGAGGTTGGTGAGGGCGTCCACCTCGGCCTCCTTCCCCACTTTGTCGGGGTTGACCAGGGGCTGGTTGCTTGGGGGCGGGGCCAAGCCACGGGCCCTCGGGGACGTGTAGGGCCCATAGAGGCTGTAGCCCGACTTGTTCGACATCTGGCTGGAGGGGCGTGGCGTGATGGGCTCGTAGATGGACTCGTAGGTTGAGCTCTAGAAAGCAAATCATCATCAACATTACTTCATCTTGTGAATCTACGTACCTATTTGCCTACTATCATCAGAGGAGACAGAATGGAAGGGAGTAAGAAAAGGAAAAGCAATGAAAAGAAGAGAGAGAGAGTGAAGGGTTGAGACCAGAGAAGGAATGACATACATACATAGATATATATGGAGAAAATGTCGGGATAAGAAAGGAAAAGAGCATAAGAAAGAGACAAACTGAGAGATAGAGAGAGAGAGAAAAAAAAAATATGTAAGTTAATCATATAATATTTAGATTAAATTCAAACTATTTACTTTCCCTCCAATGTGTAACAGTACAGTTCATTCTTTTACTACCAGTGTAAACAACATCATTCTACATATCTGTCCCTAGCTGACACAAAGGCTTCCTGTCAAAGTCCATCCCCAGAGAAAGCAGCTGCTTTGCCCTTCCACACCCAAACCTAGCTGACCCAAAGTGAAGGCCTTCTGGGCAACCTATACCTCCCCTTCGAGCAAGCACTGTGAACTTATCCTCCTCTATGACAAAATGAACCTGACACTCCAGCAGGTGGAAGCAAGCGCCTGCCCTTAAAGGGAGCTTTTGCATAAAAGAACATCTTGTCAGGCAGAGAGAGAGTCCTAGATGGCAGACAGACCAGGCCACACTGGGTCCAGCTCGTCACCACTCTGCCCTCGGCACCTGGGACAAGGGGGTCTCTTTGGGGTCTCCCATCGACCTTCCTTAAGAAACCCAAGAGTTTAGACCCCTTTCATTGCCCACCTTAAGTCCATCTCACATCATTCATAGTCAGTTTATATCATTTCATTATCATGTCACATGAAGAAAAAAGAATGAAACATGCAAACCAGGGTTGGTGATCATTT